TAACATACTAGTTTAAATCTGATGGTTGAACTTTTTTAGTTTGCAATGGACTAAGAGTATATACACGATTATTTAATATGTTTAAACTGATAAGAATTACATTAACATTAGATAACTCGATTTTTTTTTTTTTTATTAAGTGACCCTATTCAAAGATGCTCCTGTGGCATAGGGAAGCATAGTATAGGAGAGAAAACTGTCACTCTTTTTGCCTTTTCTTTTTCCTTTTAATATTCAGTGGTGCAAGACTTTCCAGTCTTCTCAGACTTATATTTGACAACTATGCAGTTATTGCCATATTAAATACCATCACTAGTTGTTACAAATTAATTATTGCAATATGTCAGGAAGTAACTTGATAGTCAGATTGTGTGCTTGCTTTGCTCTTCTCAAATAATCTGCCTTTGCAGTAGCAAAGCTTTTCAGTAGTTATTCCTTGCTGTTATGTCATGCTGTCCTCTTGTTCTCATCTAATTTTCTCTCTCCCAAAAAGCAGTTAATTAGCTGAAGAAAAGAGATGCCTTATAGTGAATCGATACTGAACACTGAAACAAACGTCATACCTCCAGCAATCTACAAGCTTGGGAGAGGTGAACAAACAGATGATAATGTTGAGAAAGAAGAGTACAGAGAATAGTTTCTCACTTGTTATTTTGAAAAGAGGGATCTTCTTGTGATATGACTTATCTCTGTAGTACCCTTCGGTGAAGGTAGATTTTGTGGTTGTATCATCAGTGCACTGCCTTTGCTGTGTGCTTGTGGGGTGTATGCTTTTTTATTTTTTGTGTATGCTTTTATTTATTTTGTGTTCATCTCTGATGTAGTTGCTGTTGTTTAGTGGAATAAATACAGTAAATAAGCCCCTAAAGGTGAGGAATAGGTGACCTCATCTGAAGAGATTGCTCATGGCCCAGGTAGGTGAAGTAACTCTTGCTCCCTAATTTTTGTGATTTAAGTGCATTGGACCATTCTTCCAGTTCTCTGCTGTAGATTTTGTTGGGTTTGTAGGTGCCTCTCTAAAGCGGTCTTAAAAAGAGACCCGTTGGTATTTCCTGTTGACACTGAAAGCAGAGTGAGAAAGAACAGTCTCAGTTTTCCTCTTCAGCATGAAGATCTTTAAGATTTTTTCTAAACAGGTATTAGCCTATATTTCAAGGGAATGTTCTCTTCAGCAAAAATATGAATGGTTCACATTTCCTTATATTATCACGTAACTAATCTCTATCCTTGAATGAAATCAGACATGGATTTATGCAGGGCACATTGTTTTGTGGCTTAGGAAGACCCACACAGCCATTTAAGAAGACAATCTCCAGGATCCTCAAAAGTGCCTCATTGCAGAGCTGTTTCTGCTGTATTTCATAAATGAAAAAATAAATGGTTCTCTTGACAAAGAGAATGGGGAAAAGTTTGGCATATAGCTATAATAAAAAAAAGAATATAAACCTTTCAGATGGAGCTCATGGGTTCTGCTCTCCACACTACTAAAGTGTTAATATAAGCAAAAAGTGTTACTTTCAGTATAGTTGTGGCACAAATGTAACATTTACTGGCTCAAAGGAGCAATTTGTGAGGCTGAATTTTTGTTACTTCTTTTGTACGTCCTCTGTTGATCAAGATAACATCTTTGATTTTTACTACACTATCTTAATGTTTTTATTAACATATTTAATGCATGGAATGCAATGAGTGAGAATAATTACCACTACATGGATCTCTCAGCAGCATCTTTAGATATGTGGATCCCTCCAAGAAATGGCCTTATCTAGGATTTTTGAAGTGGTGAAGCAAAGCTTTCTTTGGCACTGAGAGAAAAGTGTTGAGAAAAGTGTTAAAAAAATGCTCTTGGTTAAATTGCAGCCATGACAGATCTAAAATTTACCCTTATGCTTCTGTACAGATTCTGCTTTAAGCATATAAGTAAAATATCTGTTTTTTTGAATAGGGTACAAGTTTAACAGAGTTGAAAAAATTGTCAAAAATTCACAAGGTATTTGTGGTCCTCAAAGTATGTTACTGGCTTGCCTAGTTTTGGGTAGGGGTCAGAAAGAAATCAATTGTTTGTAGTCTCACAATAATAAGTACTTTTACTTTTCATAGCTGATCCTAATAGCAAAGGGCAGTTGCAGATAAGCTTGGATCTTTTCTTCAATGGCTCTTTCAAAGAAAAAAGATCCTCAGCCTGGGGCCCTGTTGTAACTGTTCACTGACTACAATCATGCACAGATTTATTTCATTACATGTTTCCCCTCTCAGCTCTTGCCTGTGTGTGGATTGAAATGGGTGTGCCCACCAAGCTGGTACAGATGGTTGTGTTCTTGGCTATTGCACAGAATTAATTGGTGTTTCCTATTCTATATATGCCCTTACATTGTGCATACTCCAGTAGCTGAGTGCATTGAACAATGTATATAACATCTGTCACACATTTATTTTCTCCCTGATCCTTTCTCTGGGAGGGGAAAGATGTGCAGCATGTTGTCTTGCTCTGGGAGCAGAGCAAACAGGCTTTAGGAGGATGTCCTGGGTCAGCAAGTCTTGTCTCTGGCTGTTCAGACTTCTTACTTTACATTATGCTCTTGTGAGCTGAGCAAGCTCCAGTCTAACATCAGATTTCTTTGTGCTGCTATTGAAAAGCTGTTATGCTACTTTCGTGTAAGGATTAGAAAGCTTTCATTTTCAGCTGCAAATTTTCTGCCTTGTGTTTTGCCTATTTCACCTTATGTCTATGTTGTTATTGATCCTAATTAGCTTTTCTCCTAGACTCTCTAGCATGCTTAACTGAATTTATAGACAACAGTCTTCCTCTTACTGCATATTTTGGTAGGCTGTTGTACTGTTGGTACAGGTGTAACTATGTTTGAAATAATTGTTATTTCATCAAAATTAAAGCTGAGAAAAATCATTCAAAGCAGATTTCATTTCTTGAAATCATTAACTTGAACTACAGCAGAATTAGTGTTGTACTGATTCATGACAAAATCCCATCTTACTTTAATGTTTAGGAAATATTACTACATTTATTTTCTAATATGCATTGCCTAAACATCTAATAAAATTCAGTTTAGTTCCCCATCTCTCCTTAAGTGAGACTTTAAGAATAATCCTACTAGTTTCAAATGAGTTTGTGTTGAACAAAGCTCAACACGAAATTGCGAAATATATCCTAATTTCCTTCCAAAGCATACGGTGCTTGCTAATGGCAAGTCAGTGATGAGGTTGTCCTGCCTCCTTCTCGGACCTCAGGCAAGTCATCAAAGCAGTATGGCTCAAACCATACTGCTTTGAGCTAAATCCCTTGATGACTGCAGGTTATGTATGGCCTTTAAATACCTGGAAATGCCTCCATCTGTGTCCTTCTCAGCATATGACAATCCCTATACAAGGCCTCATTGTTTACCCCTATGCAGGGTTGGCAAATGGGACTGCTGAGCCCACAGGGTGGGATGCTTGGTGGTGTGTTCCCACCAGGCACAGCTCTTCCTCTCTTCTGTCCTCCCCACGGTCGTGTAGAACCATGGCATTTCTCCTGCTCTGGGGTATGTCTGGCTCACAGAAAAAAAGGAGACTGACCTGATTGCTGAATCTGGTGTTGAGTCACACACTAGAAAAGAGGCCATTCTGCTGTGTTTCAAATTTGTAAGAAACTAGGGTGCTTCAATGCAAAGGGCTGGGGAACTTCAATTTTGTGTTTGACACTAGATCTAACAGGTTTGTCTGGAGTCTAGTATGACTATGACTGCCATAGTGTGTGTCTGATCTGCAGTAAATGATCCACGTGTCTGAAAAAATGCACTCATTTCTACTGGATTTATACAGAAATGCCTGAACTGTCTCATGCTAAATGTTCTTTCTGATGGCTATACCTTTTGAGGAGTTTTTTTAATTTATTTATTTTAATGTTTGTGTGTATGAAAGAATTTAGGCTGATTTAGAAGTCTTCCTCTTTGCCATTTGCTATTTCAAACTGTTGCTGCAAATGAGGAAGAGGGACCTTTTCAGTCATCCCTTGCTCAAAAAGCTCTGGGTCTAGAAGTGATCAGTGTATTTGATGTTACTCTCTCAATAAATTAAGGAAACATTTTGGATGTGGATAGCATCAAATTAGTGCTTCTATTTTTGAACCATTTCTTGTTACTCTTAATAGATATATTTTTTTGTAATCCATCTGTTCCTTCCTCTTCCCTGATGGATGTTCATCATAAATCCTTTGCTCATGGCAGGCATAAAATATTCAAAGAAAACTTGAGGTTTCACCTGTCTCCATAGCTGAAGGCAGTTTGAGTTTTGTAAAGCTGTTGATTTGGCTTGCTAAGTGTATAAATAAAAGTGAATTTGAGAATCAGTTTTTATACTGTTTGGACCACACAGTTCAAATATTTCTATACTAGGAAGGGTTATTTCTGAAGTTGTTTCTGATTGAAGTCTCCTATTCTAAGAGAAATATCAAGCCTAAATATTAGCTATCATGAACACTGGTCAGTCAAATTAGTATAAGTGGCTTTCAAGACGTTACCAGATACGTGTGTTTTAATTTGCATTTATCTTTCATTCACTTTTATGAGCATAGACTGTGTATGGTACAGAATGGCTTGGAACTGAATCCTTTTTTTCTCTTTATTATACCTGTTTTTCTGGATTAGCACAATTGTCACTTTTGCCATAGAAATGTTAATAAACCTTTATTCTCACTGTCTGATCTGTCTTTATCCTCTTTTCTACCTATCTATCCCTTCCTTGTTTGCCTTTAATACCCATTGTTAAATCAATGTAAGGAAAGAAACTTGAAGTCTTCAGGTCAGTTAAGACCTACTGATACATGGATAACCTGTTCCACTGAACTCTGAGTATGTTCGCTTTGATGGGTCCCCTTTGCTCTTCTTTCTGCTAATGGTAGTTGATTTCTGGGGGAAGAAGCTATCCTTTTCCCACCACAGTTAAATGCATTATATAATCTAAGCCTTTTTTTTTTTTTTTTTTTTTTTTTTTTTTAAAACCAGGAAATTATGGGGAAAGTGGAATGGAAGCCTTCAAAGAGCTGGCTGCCCAAGAGGGTCTCTGCATTGCTCACTCTGACAAGATCTACAGCAACGCTGGGGAAAAGAGTTTTGATCGCCTGCTCCGCAAGCTGCGAGAAAGGTTACCCAAGGCCAGAGTGGTGGTTTGCTTCTGCGAGGGAATGACAGTGAGGGGGATCCTCGGTGCCATGAGGCGCCTGGGAGTGCTTGGGGAGTTCCTGCTAATTGGAAGGTAAGACTCTGAGTGGGATTTCTCTGCCTGTTCTCTCCCTTTTGCTCTGCAGGCAGGTGTTTGATTTCAGAACTGTGCAGCTTAGCTACCTGCAATTTCCATGTTTACTTGTCTAATGAATGAAAAGAAGTGGCAAGATGGCAGAGCAGATCTCACAAAAGGGGATATGACTGTGTATGGCAGCTTAATCAGAGGTGATACCTTTTGCAGAAGTAAACACTAATTACTAACTCCTTTATATGGATATATGACATAAGTGTTTTTGTGCTTTTGCACACTCTAGAGGAATGTTTCACAGACAGAATTTAGAACAAAGTAGGGAGTGAAAGAGTCTAGTTACAGAATGTGATCTGGAAGTGTGAAGTGACAAAATTTCATGTGTTTAACTAAAGATGTCTCTTGAAAATTTGAAAAGCCAAATTATTGAATGGTTTTGATTACTTGAACTTTTTTCCAGTCTTGTGATTACAATCTGGCATTCTCAGTTGCACACTGTTCTGATCTTTGCTGTTGAAAGCTGGGGCACTGATATTATGCAACCTTGTTTGGTTTTTAAAACATCAAACTTGCTGATGTCTAAAAGAAGATGTATGTGTGGTTTTATATTACCAGAGTAACAGTGCAGACAAAGGGTGTTTTTATTAAAACATGAATGATTGCTTTTTTCTACTAGAGTTTATCTTTGTAGGCATTCACTGAAACACGGTAATTTTAGTTCTATCACATATAGCCTATCCACATTTCCATTTTTGTGATAGTTCTTATTTTGAGGCTTCTTTGACTTCCACCTTGATTTTTGCAATGTCTTTATGTCCTTTTTTCTGTCTTGATGAATCTTGTTCAAATGATGAGGACTGATATTTTGTCTTCTTTGTTAGATCGATAATGTCTGTTTTAATACTTCAATTTACTGTTTGATTCTTTCTTATTTATTATTTTAAAATTCCTTCAAGAAATGTTTAAATTAATTCCTTCAAGGCCTTTGATAGTTGTGTCCACACCTATTCAGCTTCTGTTGTCATCTCATCTCATCAGGCTTCTTTTTCTCCCTTTCTTTCCCAAAAGTCTTTGTGTCTGTCATTGTCATGACTGGAATCCTCTCCTTTTGCTCTGTGCTATCATATTGGTCTCCCCCTGATTGTATTGCTCCTCAAACCCCACAGTTATGATTTCTATGCCAGATAGCTAATCTGGCCCAAGTAATAGTCTGAAAACAACCAGTCACTCTTAATTTTTTTTTTTGTTGCAGTCTTTGTTTGTAATCTATTTGGAGCAGAGGCTGTACCTCTAGAAGGTTGTGAAGATAAGATGTAGAACATCTGGAGAACCCTTAGCATTAAAATGAAACCAAGAGTAAGGTGATATTGAAAATGATATTATGTCCTAGATTGTGTACGTGTGGTTCACAGGCATCATTCAGTTTGCATCAACTGAAATGAATAATGGAATGCTTCACTACTGACGTGTTTCAACTATGGTTTTTCAGTTAATAGAAGAAACTGACTATAAAAGAATGAGTCTGAGTGACAGCATCTCTGGTCTTTTAGTAAATGTCCTGGAGCGTTAGGTAATGCTATGCTTTCTTCATGTGTTGTCACTGTAATGGTGTCCCATTGTTCACCTAATTTTGGTGTTCCTTCTTGATGCTGTCCATGTAGAGAGCCAACAAAGGAATTAAGCCTCCTATATTGAGCACCAAATCTAGGTACTTTGGTAGTACAAACCTTAGTTTCCTATTAGACCACTTACTAGATCCCCTACTCCTTGGATGTATGGAACATTTCAGCTTGAAATTTTGACGATAAGCCTTTACCAAACATTATGGTAATCTATGTAGTTCAGTTTTTTGTCTTAGAATTTGCCTAACAGTGTTGCTCTTAGCTTTTTGTCAGGAACACTCACCTATTAAATGCTAATAATGGAATTTTTTTGGGAATCACAATGTATTGTTCAGGTAGATTTTCACATACCCTTCTTTCATGATGGCAATTGTGTCCCTTTTAGGGCTGGGTGGATTGTGTCAAATGTAAAATAAGCCAATTATTGCTTTGCACGGTCTGGATTGTGCCCATTAGCCTGCTGAAATGGTATTATAGGGCTTGCACGTTTTTTGTGTCTGCAGACCTAAAAGACATTTTCTTTGAATTGTCCTAATTAAGTGATTTTTAAAAACGGCAAATCTAACTTGGAATAAGCAAGTTGTAGCAAAACTGCAGTGCTATGAATTTGGTCATCTATATACAAACAAGAACTAAGGCACACATTCACATTACTCTGATGTACTGTTTAGTCTTTTTTATTCAAGTACCCAGCTAAGCTAAAAATCAAAAGCCTTTTAAGAACATTCTTTTAATTGAGGGAAGTGGGAGTGAACGCAAAATCAAGATTTTTTTGCAATAGTGAGCTAAACAAAGGCTTTAATTTACTCACAGGTTTATTATCAGCCATGTTTTATCAACCTCATCCTCTGCTCTGACTCACTATAAAGAGGAATTCTTTGCAAAGAAACACCTGGGTAAATAACTCTCTTCCTGCTACATCCTCAATATTGTTGGTCAAAGCAGACAGGAATAGCTTAGCTTAACTAAATTCAAGGTATCAGAAAGAGAGCTGGGAAATAAATTTGACTTCAGTTTAATCTGAATTTCAGTCTCCTGTGTTAGTGAGAAGAAAGGGAATTTCCCTTTCTGAATCTGGAGGGAAGCAGGAATTAGGACAGAACAATAGAATAGGTTACAAACTGGCTTGAGGTAGAATGGCAGATGTTCTGAAATTGATATAGTGTTTCAAATGTAATGGAGAATTCAGTAAGAAACGTTGTTAAACTATGATATCTATAAATCTATATGATAACTATAAATCTTAAAAGTGACTGACAATGAAAGGGAAAGAAAGAAAGAAAAAATTGATCATGGCTTTTTGTGTTATTACAATTATTGGAATAGTATTGGAGTAAGCAAAGGCAAAAATTATGCTAAGAAAATTAACTGTACTCTTAAGGGAGTTCAGGTGATAGCTCTTTTAGCAAAAACTGGTTTTGATGTGAAGAGATTATGTAGGAAGACGCTCAACATCATGTTTCTAATCATGTTTATGCAGGCCATTGGGTTTTATATTACTTAATAAGCAACAATTAGATTTTGTGAGAATCTTGCAAGATGGATGAATTTCCTATATATCCTCTGGGATGGAGCATCAAGACAAGGCATGTAACTGACTTTTCAGCATCTGTGTGGGTAATGCAAAGCAAATGAAAAACACAAACAAAATACCCAGTTTGAAGAGGTACTCTGAGTTTATTGGAGAAGAAAATTTTTTAGATAAATAGTTGGAATGAAAATGCTCTTTCACAATTTGATCTGTTAAAGTCCTCCACACAATGGTGTGTGTAAAAGTATCAGTAACTCTAGGAAGGAAGGGATATATTAGTGCATATGCTGTTTTTCAATCTAACATTTTGTAATGGACTATGTATAGCTTTACTTCTGTAGGCTTTCTGAGCTTTCTGATGTTTTATGATCTCCATTAATATTGCTAATGGGCTGTTGTAGAACTATGAATTGTAAGTGATGGTAGGGTGACTTTTCCTGAAAGTTTGAATGCTTGGCAGTGAAAATATGGTTGGATTCTCTGCTGTCAACCCAGTGCTTTATGGAGGGCAAGTCAGTCCTTTTCATATATCTAATAAAACCCATTTAGCGTAGGATGACAGAGCTTTCAGGATGCATAGTGTAATGAAATTTTTCCTGACTGCCTTCACTTCAAAAGCCAATATTAATAATGGTGGTTTTGGCATTTAACTTCACACTTTCTGAAATATTGACAAGGCATTACCAATGTAAGCTGTTTGGCCTTATTATCTGACATTGCTGGATAGGTTGAACTTGATTGCATCCAAGTGTAAGAGTAAACAACTTGGCGAGTTGACAGAGAAACGTACCCTGGTGTAGTCAATGCCAGGGAAACAGGGCGTGTGGGAGGATTTTGGCAGGTGCCTAGGGCAGTTGTCACCTTCCAAATCCTGGGATTTTACGCATGTACAGTCATGCAATCCCATTGAATTGGTACAACACTTGACAGAAGAGTGCCTTGCCTATCTGAATCAGATCCATCAGACTCTAAAACTGAGACTATTGAGCCTTTGTTCAGCTCCATCATGCCAGAGAAAGGAAGGCCTCACCATTTGAGGACACCATGGTTAAGGCAGGGACCCAAGCCATATTTACACTGATGACCTCACTTGTTAAAAAGAAAAACTGGTAGCAGAAATTGATAGGTCCATAACATCCTTTAGTAATGGAGGAGGAAGAGTCTGGTCAGGAAGCTGGTACTTCAGCAAGGAAGCAGAAGGAGGAGGTGACAGAAGTTTCTCACAATTCAAGTCTATTTTAATTGGCAATAAATTGTCTTAATTTGCCCCAAACTGAGCCTCTTTTGCCTGTGATGGTATCTATTAAGCAATCTCCCTATCTTTATTTTAACCTGTGAGATTTTTCACCCAATTTTCTACCTTTCTTCTTTTGAGTGAGGTAGTTGGCAAGTGGATGGTTGAATGTTTGGCTGCTGACCAAGTCTACCCACCACAGATGACACAGGTTGCACTGCCAAAAGCATGATGTTCTGTATTTCTCTTTCTCTGTCCTTCAGTTTTGATATCACAAATAAAATAAATAGGAGTATCACAAATAGCGCATCCCATATGTGTCTAAGAAGACTGCCTGCCTCTTCCTCCCAGAATAGTCCCTAGTGCCAGTGGCTCATGCATTACCTGCAAAATGACAGAGAATATTCTACTGTTATGCTGTGATGTTCTTCATAAACAAGAAGGATATCTATCAAAGGATACTACTGTTTTTTTAAGTTAGACTAGCTGAAAGGAAGATGCTGTACTCTGTTCTCCAATGCACAATGTCTTAGTCGTGTTTAACTCTATTTACAAAAAATTATTATTAGCTATTTTTAAGTACGTAAGAGATACGAAGAAATCAGTAAGAACCAAC